TCCCTGCCCCGTGGGAAGTCCAAGGACCGCCCACCTCCATCCAGGTCTAGTAAGGTGAGCATCCAAACTGCCTAGGCTCCCACAAAGCCAGTACGTGCAGTAGGATCAAAAGCCCATTGCCATTGTTCTTGAGTTCTCAGTAGACTTCATTGTCCACTAAGTTCAGCAAGTCCGGTTTTATCACAAGCCTTTTAACCTGGTCTTGGTTGAGCTTTGGTACATGGTACTTATCTAAAAAAATGTCCATTTCTTTTGCATTTTCCAGTTTTGTGGCATACAGGCTTTTGTAGTAAGATCTAATGATTCTCTGAATTTCCTGTATCTATGGTTATGTCCCTCTTTTCATTTCTGATCTTATTTATTTGTGTGTTCTCTCTCTGTCGTTTAATTAGTTTGGATAGTGGTTTGTCAATCTTCTTGATTTTCTCCAAGAACCAACTTTTTGTTTCATTGATTCTTTGGACTGTTTTCTGTGTTTCTATTTTGTTGATTTCTGCCCTCAGTTTTATTATTTCCAGTCTTCTACTCCTCCTGGGTGCGTCTGCTTCTTTTTTTTCTAAAGCTTTCAGGTGTGCTGTTAAGTCTCCGATGTATGCTTTCTCTGTTTTCTTTAAGTGGGCACTTAGTGCTATGAACTTTCCTCTTAACACTGCTTTCATCTCGTCCCATAGGTTTGAGAATGTTGTCTCTTTATTTTCATTAAATTCAAGGAAGACTTTAATTTCTTTCTTAGTTTCTTCCTTGACCCAGCTGTGGTTCAGTAGTTGACTGTTCAGTTTCCATGAGTTAGTCAGCTTTCTGGGGGTAGCATTGTTGTTGCCTTCTAACTTTAGTCCGTGGTGATCTGATAAGACACAGGTAGACACTGATATTTTTTTGTATCTGTGGGGGTTTCCTTTGTTTCCGGGTATGTGGTCAATTTTCGAGAAGGTTCCATGAGCTGCAGAGAAGAAGGTATATTCTTTCCTATTCGGGTGGAGTGTTCTATAGATGTCTGTTAAGTTCATTTGCTTCATTACCTCCAACAATTCTCTTAATTCTCTATTAGGATTCTGACTGACCTGTCCATTGGTGAGAGAGGTGTGTTGAAGTCTCCTACTACTAGTGTGTGTGGTTTGATGTCTGCCTTGAGTTTTAGTAATATTTCTTTTACATAAGTGGGTGCTTTTATATTAGGGGTGTAGATATTCAGGATTGAGACTTCATCCTGATGAACTGCTCCTGTTATGAGTGTAAAGTGTCCATCTCGATCTCTTCTGATTGATTTTAGTTTGAAGTCAGTTTTGTTAGAAATTAATATGGCCACTCCTGCTTTTTTCTTAGGACCATTTGCTTGAAAAACCTTTTCCCAACCCTTTACTCTGAGTAGATGCCTGTCTTTGGGGTGAGATGTGTTTCTTGAAAACAGCAGAATGTTGGATCCTGTTTTCTTATCCAATCTCATAGCTTGTGCCTTTTTATAGGTGAATTGAGACCATTAATATTCAGTGATATTAAACCAGAGGTTGTTTAGTCCAGTTATTCTTATTGTTTTTGGTAGTTGAGTTTGTGTGTCTCCCTTCTTTGAGTTGTGCTGGTGAAGGGTCGCTAGATGCCTGAGTTATTGTAGGCAGTACTGGAAATGTTGGATTCCTTGGGTTGTGATTTTTCTTCTATTACTTTCTGTAGGGCTGGATTTGTGGCTACATATTGTTTAAATTTGTTCTTATCCTGGAATGTCTTGTTTTCTCCATTGATAGTGAACAATAGCTTAGCTGGGTATAGTAGTTTGGGTTTGCATCCATGGTCCCTTAGTTTCTGCAGTACCTCTATCCAGGACCTTCTGGCTTTCATGGTTTCCATAGAAGTCAGGTGTAAGTCTGATTGATTTACCTTTATAAGTTACTAACCCTTTTTCCTTTGCAGCTCTTAATATTCTTTCCTTAATCTGTATATTTTGTGTTTTGATTATTATATGGCAAGGGGATTTTTTTTGAATCCAGTCTGTTTGGTGTTCTATGTGCTTCTTGAATATTCAAAGGAATATCTTTCTTTATTTTGGGAAAATTTTCTTCCATAATTTTGAGATCCTTTCTTCTATCTCTTGTACTCTATTGATTATGCTTGTTTCTGTATTCTCTGCTCGTTTACCTGGATTTTTCATATCCAGCTGGTCCTCAGTTTGTTTTCTTCCTTGCTTCCATTTCAGTTTTCAATTCTTGTACTATTTGCATTACCTGTTTGATCGTTTTTTCTTGGTTTCCCAGGGTATCATTTACATATTTACTCATTTATTCAAACTTTTTGTTATACTTCTCATCCATTTCTATAAGGGCATTTTTTACATGTTGTTTAAGGGACTCTATTGCTATCATAAAGTCAATTTTTTCCTCTTCTTCTGTGTTAGGGTGTTCAAGTCCTTCTGTTGTAAGATCATTGGATTCTGGTCTTTTCATGTTGTTTTTCAGATTGTTGGGTGAATTTTTGCCTTGGCGCCTGTACATTTCCTCCTATCGATGCTATCTAATGGGTCTTTTAAAACAGGATCAGGTTTCCCTGCTGGCCAGCCCCCCCCCCGCCCCCCCCCCCCCCCCCCCCCCCCCCGCTTACAAAATGCCCTCACTCCGTTTCTTGGCTCCTGCCATGGGCGAAGATCCCTCTCACCACTCAGAAGAGTCTTGAGGAACAGGACCAGGCTCCCTGTTCGCCAGGGACCTCGCCAACCAAAGGCCTACCACTCTGTAGGCCAGCCACCAAAACAGAGAAACTCCCGCTGCCCTCTACCCCGAGCTCCCGACCCAGCACCCAAACAGGCTAAACTGGGTGATCCTGCGGCCCTGCAGAAGCGAGGGGGAGTGAAGGAGGCCCCTGGGTGCAAGCTGTGACAGGTCAGGGAGAGAGAGTTTGCAGCAGAGGAGCAGCCCCAGCAGAGGGTACCAGCCCTCGCAGACTAACGGGGAGGGGGGGTTAAGGGGGTCGGAGAATGCCCCCGCTCCATTTCCTGTGTCCCGCTGCAGGCCAAGAACACTAGCCCCAGTCAGGAGGGTCTTCAGAGACAGGACCAGGCTCCCCATTCGCCCCTGGACCTCGCCAGTAAAAGGACTACCCCTCTGCAGGCCAGGCCCCAAAAAACCTACTTGATTTAATTGTAGTTGGACGATCTGCTCTCAGTGTGGGCTTTACTGTTTCATGTTTGGACTATCCCGCATCTGCAGCTTGGGCCTGCGCACCGGTCTCTCTCCGCCACTTGGGCCTGTGCACTGGTCTCATTCCGCATCTTGGGCCTGCGCACCGGTCTCTCTCCCTGGCTGGGTTTTAAGATAAGTTGTTTCCTAATTTTCTTTCATTCTTTTTTTTTTAATTTTTGGTTCTCCAAGACACTGTTTCTCTTTAGCTTTGGAGCCTGTCCTGGAACTAGCGCTTGTAGACCAGGTTGGCCATGAAGTCCCAGAGATCTCTCTGCCTCCCAAGTGCAGAGATTAAAGCCATGCCTCACAACCAGGCAGGTGGCTTTTTAATTTTCTATGGAATACCCATACTGATATTCAAAGTAGCTGACTCAGATTATAACCCCATCAGCAATGGAAGAGTGTCCCCTTAACTCCACATCCTCTCCAGATTAAGTTGTCATCAGTGTTTTGATCTTGCCTATTGTTACAGATGTAACAGGGGATCTCATATTTGTTTTGATTTTCATTTCTCTAATGATTAAAGAGTTTGGAAATTTCCTTAAGTGCCTCTCAGTCATTTTAGATTCATATGTTAAACCTTTTTTATTTAGGTCTGTACTCCATTTTTTCTTGGATTATTTGTTCTTTTGATGACCAATTAAGTTTTTTCTATGTTTTGAAGATCAGTCTTCTGTCCAATGTGGGTAGGTGAATATCTTTTCCCATACTACAGGCTGGCTTTTTTGTATTGTTGATACTGTCCTTTGGTTTACAGAAACTTTTGCTTCAGGAGATCTCATTCATTATTTTTCTCAGTGTCTGTGATGCCTGGGGTTATAATTTGAAAGTGTTCCTCTTTTCCAATGTGTTCAAGTGTACTTCCAATATTCTGTTTTATGTAGTTCAGTGTGTTTGTCTTTATGTTGTAGCCTTTAATCCACTGAGACTTTAGTTTTGGTCATGATAGATGTGGATCTACTTTTATTCTTCCCCACATTGATATTCAGCATTGCCAGCACCATTTGTTAAATGTTTTATCCATTTTATATTTTTTGGTGCTTTGTCAAAAATCAGGTGCAGTAAACAAGTGGGTTGATATCTGGGTCTTAGAATCAGTTCCATTAGTCCTCCTATCTGTTTTTGTGCAAACACCAGGCTCTCTTCAGTACTCTAGCTCTGCAGTCGTCTGAAGAAGTCAGGGAATGTGATACCTCAAGAAATTATTTTTTATATAGGATTGTTTTGACTATCTTGCATTCTTTTGGCTTTTCTATATGAAGTTGTTTTTATTTTGAGATCTGTGAAGATTTTTCTGATATTTACATGGGAATGTTATTGAGCCTGTAGATTGCTTTTGGAAAGGTTTTCACTTTTACTATGTTGCTTTCTACCTAACAAGGGCAAGGGACATCTTCCCATTCTCTGCTGTCTTCTTCAAAGATTCCTCAGGTCTAAAAGATTATGATAATATGCACAAGCTTTCTCAGATGACTACACACAAAGTCTTACTCCTATATGAAGCACAAAACATTATGACACTGAATTTATTTACAGAGTTTCACTACAGTATGATTTTTTTTCTCCTGTTTGTGAAAAATACACAAATTAACTTCAGGGTTTCTCTACAAAAGGGCTCATATTATGTATTTGAAGATGATTGTGAAAAAGAATTTACCACATTCCTTTCACTGGTATCTCTAGAGTGTGTTACATTTTAAGGCTTTTAAGAGTACAGGGGTCTGCAAAGGCCTTATCACACAGATATCATTAATATGGTTTCTCTCAATTATGTGTTCTTCTATGCATTTGAAGAGCACCATGTTGAGCAAAGGCCTTACCACACTGATTACATTCATAGGGTTTCTCTCCAGTATGTGTTCTTTTATGATTTTGAAGACTTCTCTGAGCTGCAAAGGCCTTACCACACTGATAACATTCATAGGGTTTCTCTCCAGTATGTGTTCTTTTATGCAATTGAAGATGATCATGACGTGCAAAGGCCTTACCACACTGATTACATTCATAGGGTTTCTCTCCAGTATGTGTTCTTTTATGATTTTGAAGACTGCTCTGAGCTGCAAAGGCCTTACCACACTGATAACATTCATAGGAATTCTCTCCAGTATGTGTTCTTTTATGCAATTGAAGATGATCATGACGTGCAAAGGCCTTACCACACTGATTACATTCATAAGGTTTCTCTCCAGTATGTGTTCTTTTATGCACTTGAAGATGACTGTGTTGTACAAAGGCCTTACCACACTGATTACATTCATGGGGTTTCTCTCCAGTATGTGTTCTTTTATGATTTTGAAGAGCAATGTTCTGTGCAAAGGTCTTACCACACTGATTACATTCATAAGGTTTCTCTCCAGTATGTGTTCTTTTATGCAATTGAAGATGATCATGACGTGCAAAGGCCTTACCACACTGAGTACATTCATGGGGTTTCTCTCCAGTATGTGTTCTTTTATGGTATTGAAGAGCAATGTTCTGTGCAAAGGCCTTACCACACTGATTACATTCATGGGGTTTCTCTCCAGTATGTGTTCTTTTATGTATTTGAAGATGACTGTGTTGTGCAAAGGCCTTACCACACTGAGTACATTCATGGGGTTTCTCTCCAGTATGTGTTCTTTTATGGTATTGAAGAGAAATGTTCTGTGCAAAGGCCTTACCACACTGATTACATTCATAAGGTTTCTCTCCAGTATGTGTTCTTTTATGGTTTTGAAGAGCAATGTTCTGTGCAAAGGCCTTACCACACTGAGTACATTCATGGGGTTTCTCTCCAGTATGTGTTCTTTTATGCAATTGAAGATGATCATGACGTGCAAAGGCCTTACCACACTGATTACATTCATAAGGTTTCTCTCCAGTATGTGTTCTTTTATGCAATTGAAGATGATCATGACGTGCAAAGGCCTTACCACACTGATTACATTCATAGGGTTTTTCTCCAGTTTGTATTCTCTTATGTGTTTGAAAAACAGTACATTGAGCAATGGCTTTACCACACTGATTATATTCATAGGGTGTCTCTCTAGTATATATTCTTTTAATCTTTTGAAGAAGACTGTGATCAGCAAAAAGCTTACCATGCAGATTGCATTCATATGATTTCTCTCCAGTATGTGTTAGTTTATGACTTTGATGAGTTTCATAAACAAGAAAGTCTTTGTCTTCTTGACCATATTCATAGGGTTTCTCTCCAGTGTGTGTTCTTTTATGCATTTCAAGATGATTGTGATGAGAAAAGACTTCATCAAATTGCTTAATTTCACAGCATTTTTCTCCGCTATGTGTTTTTTCATTCCTTAGAAGATGAGTGTTATAAGACAAGACTTTACCACAGTGAGAATATACTGAAAACTTTTCTCCAGTTTGATTTCTTTCAATCCTGCAAGGATAATTTACACATGTAAAAGCTTTACCACATTCAATGCAGTTGAACCTCATACCTATATGAATTAATTTCATATTTTTTCAAATTGTAAAAAGGAATCAAATATCAAGGTTTTATAGCTTTGTTTAAAATCATGTTTTGTTCTCTTGTTAGGGGTCATTTTACATCTAGAAAAATATTTGTGATGATAAATTCCATTGTGTCATGGTTTATCTTTTTTCATCTATAACTATACCTATATTTTTCTAGGATATTTTTTATATTTTTGAAGACAACTGCATATACTGAGTGCTTTACCAACTTTACTCAATTCATAATTTCACTATATTGTGAATCATTATACATTTGGTAAGTGAACTAAGACAGGCAGAAGTATTTGCATAGACCTAGAACTCATGTTTGTTTGTTTTTGTTGTAATGTGAGTTTGTATTTTTGTATTAATTGTGATGATAGAAAATACATTAACTTTGTATTTTTGGATGAAATTAAACATGAACACTCTACATAGGAACTACAGTTTATCTTCTTAATTGTTCTTAAGGAGAGGTATGCTAAATCTTTCCATATTCCTATGCTCATACACTTGTGTCAAGAGTGACATATCTTGTGTCAAGAGTGACATATGTATATATATATGAAAAAATAATAGTGTATAAAAGATTTCTACAATGAATCCACAAAGTTCGACCTTCACAGACTTGTGGTATAGATATTAAGGTTTCTCCACAACAAATGCCCCTTAACATAATCTGATTTCACTAAACTTAGCACAGTCACAAAAAGTATATGAGTGATACAAGGCTTACCATGGGCTATTGAATTAGTAGAAAGTTTTGCAGCTATATTCATCATCACTGAAATATGTCTACATTTTCTGTCATGAATAGCAAGAAGCAAATGAAGCAGCAGTTCTACAACATAGCTCTCATGGTGCTATGAATCAAATGGAGATATCTGTTTAGGCATTGTTACCTAGACTTTTTCTTAAATGAAGGCTTTACAGATGCAATTCACATACATGAAATTGAGGTATATGGATTTGTGAGAACTTAATAACCATCAATACATTTAAAGCTGTGCTTATTTACACTCTTGCTTTTGTTTTAAAGTTCCAGAACACATTACAAACTATTAAGGGAAATTGTTATGAACTTGCCCAAGAAAATTACCTTGCATGTCTTCTAGAACATTGACAATGCTCTTCAGTGTTAAGATCTTCCCAAATGTATCCTAAAATACAGTACCAGAATAGATGTTATATTATTTAAGAATGTGCAACAATTAGCTTATTATCTTAAGTGCACCTAAGAACTTTGACTGTGTTATTCACCTCATTCTTCTTTCTCTAAAACAAATTACAGAACAAAATCATAAACCAAGGAAAAGTTGTCTCCATATTTTGAAACATGAAAGAAATTCATTTTCACCTATAGTAGTTAGGTTCCTGTAGGTCTCCAGCATCACATCTTTGTAGAGATTCTTCTGAGAAGGATTCAGTAAATCCCACTCTTCCTTAGTGAAGTTGATGTGCACATCATCATAGCTCACTGCCTTCAAAAATACAACATACATGAGTACATTATAAGTATGACAGTAAAATACATACTTCTTTGAAAGTATAGTTTTATGATTCTGGTGTTCCCCATTCTTGTTCCATGACATAGACAGTCACTTTAGAAGGAAATTGAAAAGGAGAATCAATTCTGTTATTTCTGTATCCTTTGTATAGGATACCACCTTATAAGAGCAGTATCTATTCATGGGGAAAGAAAAAAAGAACAGTACGTTGTATGCATGAGAAAATTAAAGACTATGAAAAGGAAAAAAAAGATGGACAAACTGGGCATATTAGTGTAATTTGCCTTTACCACAACACTCAGAGAACAGAGGTGGGTATATTTGTCTCTGAAACGAATGCCAGTCAAGATTTAACAGAACTGCTTATCCATTTTAAGATACAATGTATCTTGTCAGAGGTTGAGGCATGAACATGTCTTTGCCCAAAGGCCAGTTTTGAAAACAAGAAAACAAGATTTGAGTGTCTTCGGTGCTCAACATTCTCTGGAAAATAGACAATGCTACCAGTAGTAATCGTGTCTCACTTCAACAGTACTCTAGGTTATTTAAATTCCATATTTTACAGCTTTTTAAAGTGGTTAAAGATTACCTATCTATGCAAAATATATTCTTTATGTGTCTAAAAAACCTGATTATTCTAACTATAAGTATGACATAGATGACTATTGATCTATAATTCTAATACCTATATAAAGACTAAGACTTCATATTAGAATATTGTACAATAAACAACTGTACAACAAATAAGGACAATGGGCTCAAAATGTAACCAATGAATAAATATCTTGATCAATGGAAGAAATGTACATTGCAATTTGATAAATATATTTATCAATATATAAAATGTTTTAAGCAGAGGTAGAAGCATGAATGCATACAAAATTCAATATTTAACATTATATCAATATACAAAAATCTATATCAAAGCAATTGCCTATAAATTATAACTCACAAGCATTCACTCTATTACTCACTATTATTATTAATGTATGTAAACTCACACTATCTTATTCCATCCAATTTTCCCTTTTTTTTCAAAGAAATCCCTGAGCCCATAAAATTTCCCTTCCAACCCACAACCCTATACCAATTATAACCAACCCCTAAATGATGTCCCTAACCCTAGGACAAACTTTGTTGGGAGAGGGGATGTAGTCTTTTAGAATTACTTCCAGCTGTCGTGGGACGATGTTCTTTCTATGGGATCCTGTGTAAGTAAAATGATGGTTAAGTTCCAAGATTACTGTTTGGTATAACTAAAAATAGTCTCTGAGTATTTTGTAAAGTTTTTCTGAGCTTCCTCTTATAATGATGCAGCATAATAACCAGGCTAGCTTAATATGAAACAGCAAAATTTAATGATGGGATAGCTTACAACACCAGGGATCCAGCGATGGGCAAGAAATACAAAAGGGCCGGCGGGGCTCACGCCTGCCAGATTTATACATAAACATTAGCCCGAGGCAAACACGCTCCCCATTGAGCTGGGCTTCCCCTACATTATAAGTTCTGTCCAGAACATTGTAAAAAGTGGACCATTTCAGCTAACAAAGTTGGAACTATCTTGAGCAGCTGGTATGCAAAACACGTCTGGTAGTAGCACTATCATCATCATGCCATATCAACCAGGTTGAGTTGTTTTTGTGGGGCCCCAACTTCTTCCTGGGAACTTCAAAAATTACTGCAGGAAAATTCATTGTTCGTTGTGGAAAATTTAAACATTACTTATATAGTCATATACAGACATATATATTCAATGACATGTACAATAGAGACAAAATAGAAATGGAGAAAAGTAAAAAGTTTTTTATATTCCTTTTTCTTTCTGTCCCATGCTCCTGACATTGAGAGAGAAACTCTCAATTTGTATTTTAACGACATGCTTGGATTTATAGAGGGACAGAGCCAGTGTCCATCTCCAAAACCAGCTCTATATATTCATAAATATACATCCACTTACAAAAGGCACCCAATGAAATGATAGGATAAAAGTGTAGATTACTGAATCTAAAAAGAATAAAGGGGCATATATGTGTATCATGTAAAAGTGTAGATCAGTAAAATTAATTTTAAAAAGTAACTACTTATTTATATATTTTACATTGATATAGACATGGATGCTCCCTTTTGATATAAACTTGACATTTATTAAAACATACTGTTTATGATTTTTATATTCTTACTCAAACTATTTTATCTAATTCAACTCACTTAAACATATAATGAAAACTTCTAGTCCTTGAAACTTATTATTATAAACCAATTAGGATATAAAGTACTGCATGTTAGTACTTTGTTATTTATTACAATTTAAGTTATACTCAAGTTAGGTATGTTTTCAACATTATATGAAATTTCATTACTGATTCAAATGTAAATACTTTAGAGAAAATGGTTGGTGACGTAAAACAAACTTTGTCTCCTTGGGGATTACTTCTGAAAATATACAAAAAGGTGATTCCATAATTATTCAGCATATAAAACTTTTATAAAAATGTGAGCCCAAAAGTTAAAAATTAGGAGAGATTATTTGTGGAATCTTAATAATTTTCAGAAATTGCCCCAAGACATTGACCATGTATATCCCACTATTGGAGTAAAAAATTGAAAACAGTAATTAGAACCAAACCATAAAAGGTAACAAGGATTTAAATAGTCAAAGAGAACTATCATCTAAAGCAGAGAAAAAAATTGGTTTAGTGGAAATAAAATTATAGGAGGCACTTATGGATTGTTTGGATGTGAATTTTGGTTACATTCAAGACTTTTTTTGATACAGGTTTCTCTGTAGCTTTGGAATGTGTCCTGGAACTAGCTCTTCTAGACCAGGCTGGCCTTGAACTCCACCTGCCTCTGTCTCCCAAGAGCTGGGATTAAAGGTTTGAGCCATCACCCCCTGGCCTTCATTCTAGACATTTTACTCTCTATGTATTCCCTATAGGAATTTTACTGCAGAGGAAAGATATTATCTTATAATCGATATTTTAAACATATAATCATACTAACAAACTAAAAAGTTATATGGAAAAAAATCTGAGTTGTTTTTAAAAAGAAAACTGAAACTTCATCTAATAGCAAGAATTTACCAAGGTTAAATTGTAGCATGTTTTACTAATGTTGAGATTGAATCATTATGGACAGGAAGTGAACATTGGCAAAGAGTTTACAGTAATTTCTTGGGAGAGATTAACAACAAATATCCCTTTAGCCATAATATTAATGATCATATAGAGAAGTAACTAATTCTAGGGAAAGATTTCATCTAGCTTCCTGTATTTAATTTTGGGTTTGAGTCTCTATCTGATATCTAGGAATACATAACAAATACTTATCCTTTAACCTCTTACAGATCTGCTGCATATGACAATTAAAATGCTTAAGTTTTTTGCAATGAAATATGAGCATGCATTACAGTGACCTGTGAAGTCTCCAGAAGAAGTGTGAGTCACACAAGGAAGATTTCAACTGCACTATGTTATTGTTTCACCATCTAAACATCAGGTTTGGACTACAAACTGCTCGGGACAGTATCAAAATGGTACACTGAGATGATTGAGACACCTGGGAACATGTTTTAATTAAGCAAACAGTTCATTTTGGAGGTTTGAGGAAGAGATGATGGGCAAAAACACAGACAGGTTGAATGACGGAATTGAATCAAAGACCCAGGTATTAATCCACACACCTATGAACACCTGATTTTTGACAAAGAAGCTAAAATTATACAATGAAAAAAGAAAGCATCTGCAACAAATGGTTATGGCATAACTGGATATCAAATCTATCACCATGCACAATACTCAAGTTCAAAGGGGATAAAGACCTTAATATAAATCTGACCTCACTGAAACTGATAGGAGAGAAAGTGAAAAGTAGCCTTCCAAGCATGGAACAGGGGACCACTTATAAACATAACACCTGTAACAGAGTCTGAGAGGAACAATTAGTAAATGGGACCTTCTGAAACTGAGAAGCTTCTTCTGCACAGCAAAGGACACAGTCAATAACACAATAAGGCAGCGTATTGAATGGGAAAAATTTCCAATCCCATATAAGATAGAGGACTGATCTCCAAAATATATAAAGAACTCAAGAAATTAAACATCAAAATTTCACATAATTCAATTAAAAATAGGGTACAGAACTAAACAGAGAATTTTCTTTTTTAAAAAAAAATATTTATTTATTTATTATGTATACAATATTCTGTCTGTGTGTATGCTGCAGGCCAGAAGAGGGCACCAGATCCCATTACAGATGGTTGTGAGCCACCATGTGGTTGCTGGGAATTGAACTCAGGACCTTTGGAAGAGCAGGCAATGCTCTTAACCTCTGAGCCATCTCTCCAGCCCAACAGAGAATTTTCTATAGAATAATCTCAAATGGTCAAAAGACACTTAAGGAAATGTTCAACATCCTTAGCCATCAGGGAAATGCAAATCAAAATGACTCTGCAATACCACTTTATACCTGTCAGAATGGCTAAGAACAAAAACACCAATGACTGCTTATGCTGGAGAGGATGTGGGAGTAAGGGGAAGACTTTTCCATTGTTGGTGGAAATGCAAATTGTACAACCACTCTGGAAAACAGTATGGCAGTTTCTCTGAAAATTAGGATTCAACCTACCTCAAGACCCAGCAATACAAATGACAATGGTGTGAACTCCCTTACACATCAATATTGGTTGTAAAGTAAAGGATATTCATGCTACAATCCACAGACACAGAGAGAGTTAGTTAACAACAAAGGATCAAGGGAGGGATACATCGATCTCCCTGAAAGGGGCACTAGAATAGGTCTTCTGAATTGAATGGCAGTAGTTGGGTATGGGAACAGGAGAAATCAGAATCAGGGTGCTTGGATGTAGGGAGAATGAGGAAAGACTACAGGAATTGGGGAACATTTGGGAGTTGGTACAATAAATACTCATTAGACTGTATGAAAATGCCCCTAGCAAGGACTTTTAGGAA